CTCTGGGGTGCTTCAGTCCTCTGCTGAGATTTTAATTCACCTTTTGCTGTGCCCATGCAACGGCAGTCATCCATGCGTGTTGGACTTCAGCCTTTCCCTCACTCTGGCATTAGCTGCATGGCAGCATTCTTCTGGCTGGGCAGTCCCATCGAGCACTTTGTGACCTGCATTTAAAAGTATTAATGGCAGCAACAAAGGATCTTCTTACTTGTTACTTCCATGAAAGCTCTTGGATAACAGCTTAATTCCTGGTTCTCAGGGCGCTTAACTTACTTCATGCAAGTAGAGGTATTATTTTATGCCTGTGTGTTTTGAATACAAGCTGTATCAGAGATATTAAACTGCTTTAGCGGTAATGGTCTATTAAATTTGTGCTTCTTAGAGTGTAAATTATTTTCATAATGGAGGGTAATTACTCTGCTTTGTCAATCCCTCATCAATTCATGAACACCGCGGGGTGTACGTGCAACCTCGTGTTCAAGGAATTATATATGCAACTCCCATTGTTGTTTGTTGTTCAATAAACAGCTTCTAATGACTAAAGCTGTGTGTGAGCTGTTACTTAACAGCTAAAAAATTTGCCAGAACTGTCATTGCCCTTCTAGCAGAGAGCTCATTGTTAGTGAATGCTCCGAGATATCTTGACTGAGATTATTAACTACTTTGCAATCAGTTTTCCTTCAGTGTTAATTGTGCTGCGAAATCCTAGGATATTGTGTTAAAAACCATTCAAAAGTCAGTGTCACATCACAGATGCATTTTTGTGCTTAAAAGAGCAGATGCTTAAGTTATGAGCACAGTCTGCCTCTAAAAACTTCATTTTTGTCATGAATTGTGTATTTACACTCACAGGGGGGACACTTGTGATGTTTGTACACACACGTACAACAGCTACCCGCCCTCGGAACCCATTCCCTGCCGTCTCTAATATAAAACCCTTGTATGTTATGGCAGGGGGTCCTAGGAATTATTGACAGGTATTTGGTGTGTAAGAAAAGCCTTTACAGCACAACAAAAAGTCCTGCTTGGTGCATCTGAGTCATTTAACAAATTGCTTCAGGTCATAGAATTTGACAAATGGAAAAATAATAGTCTTGCTCTTCCCCCACAAATGTGCGTGCGTAGCTCTACCTATAATGTTTGGTAATTGGATTAAATATTAGTTCCCCTTTTTTTTTGTGCCCAGACTGTGCAAGCAGCTTGTAAATTATGGAGTGAAAACGTGGAGCTTGTGAATACCCAGTAATAAGTAATGCTCATGCATCCTGGACTGCAGCAATAAAAATGGTGGTGATTTAATGAGTCATCAGCATTCCGGAGCTTGCAGGGAGAAGTTTAGGGAGGGACTGGGGTTTTCTTGCCTTTAAGGTGTGTACGAGTCTCGCTCTCCCACATGGCAGTTGGGTTTGTGGAAGTGAATGCCAATGATGGTTTTATAGCTTTATAGCCAAGTGGCTTTGTATCTATTATAAAATGGTGGTGCCAGGTTACAGGTAATACCTTTCACCCTGCAGAATTCCTCGTTGCTTTTCTAAATCTCATAATTCCTTAACACTGCAAATACAACTGTATTGTTGTGCAATGGTGAGGAGATTGACATCAAGGTTGGGGCAGGCAGAAGTGCTGTGAGTTCCCCACCATCCACCGCGATGTGTCAAGTCTTGGAGAAAGGCTGGCTTCCTGGTGGGAGAAATGGAGAAGGCTTTTCCCCTTTGTGGCACTCATCTGGGGTGGCTCGTGAAGTGGTTTTACTCTTGCCTGCAATTCCCATATCAGAAGTAAAGATAAACAATACTCCTTATTGTGTTCCATCTGTTTCCAGAGCGGGTTTTGTGGACTGGAGGAGGTCTCTTTCAGGACCGGGGCTGTACTGGAAAGTTGGGCTGGTGTCACTGCATGAGAGCTGGTGTTCTGAAAAACTAACCCTCCCTCAGAGAAATCGTGTTGTTAAACTTCTTTCTAGCAAGGACACTGACCTACTGCCTTCCCGTCCTCGTTTTGCTGTGAAAATGAATGTTCGTTTACAAACATGGAAGGAAAACCATTAGCATTCCTTCAAATCAAAATATAATCACATCTTCGCCGTTTCAAAGCCCATCCCTCCTGGCAAATCTCACTAATTATCCCAGACAGGTGTTTTTCAACAAAAGCTCCTTCTTGTGTTCTCTCTTCTTCTCCAGCTTCTCCTTGAGCTAATGAAGCTCCAGTGGTGCCCCTTTCAACAAAAGCTCCTTCTTGTGTTCTCTCTTCTTCTCCAGCTTCTCCTTGAGCTAATGAAGCTCCGGTGGTGCCCCTGGAAGGAGGGAACAATTTGTGTAACTCCGGGTTGGGGAGAACAGAGGGTAATTGAGGAAGGTGCTGAGGGGGGGTGAGGAGGGCAGAGCCCCTCTCTCTGACTAAAGAGATCTCTCCTTGGTGGTGATTACTGAGGGAGCATTTCCCTGCCAAAAAGAAAGTAGCTGCTCTGAAAAATGTTCTTTGATAGTTTATTGATATGCAGGCCCACAGACCTCGTTAGGGTGGCCTTTCCGTCCTCCAGTTAATGGAGTGTGGGTTTAAATTAAGAGAAAGGAGCTCGTCTTATGGGAAGAGGCTCGGCCCGTTTCTTTAAGAAGCTCCTGGGTAGGAGGTACAGCTGCCCCGGGTTGTTTACTGACACTCCAGGCATAAATTGCAGACTTCTCTCTGGAAAAAGCTGGGTTTCTTCTCCGTGCGGAGGCCTACGTGCTTCCACAACTATTCGATGGGTATTTGTAATTACAGCCAGTCTCCTTCTGAAAGCAGGTCCTGCCTGCTGGGTTTATGTCTAGACAATAGGAACGGGGCACTTTTGTTAGCAGGTACGGCAGCAAAAAATATATAGATAGGTGTTTTGCTAAGGCTAGTTGACAAGAAGCCCTGCCTTGCCTAATGGTAATGTGTTTTCGCAGTTCATATGTGATTATGTCTGGAAGCTCCCTGGTCCCTGCCTCTTCCAAATGCTTCAGACGTTCATATTCTGAACTCTAGAAATCAGCAGAATTCAAATACTCTTTTAAGCGTATTTGAATTGGTAATCAGCTGCTCTGAAACTTCCAACCAGCTTATAACATTGCCAGTATGAAAACCAGGCTCAGGTGTGACCTCACATCCAGGCATAAGCAGTTATTTTTCTTTTTTATTTGGCAAGGCAAGAGCTCTGCTTTCAGGAGGGAATATAAGTATCTTCCTTGCAAAATCCACCAATGAATAAAATTACTTCCAGCTAAGTTTAGGTGGAAGGTCAGAGACCATAAAAATACTGTGCAAAAGGCTTGCAGGGAAATGAATCCATTTCTTTACTCATTGGGGAAGGGACTTGAAGACCAAAAGCTCATTCTGAAGGCTCAGAGAAAAGTACCATTAGGATTTTAAATTATACAGCAATAGATTGATGTCACTGGTGAGCCTCTAGGAAAGCGTGGTGCTTGCACGATGACCTGCATTTCGGGTGCATCATGGTCTTACAGATCACTGAGAGCAAACCCAATCTCCACCAACTCCCTGTGGAAATCGAAATGTTACGAGCCTCTTAAAACTGGGTGTTTTGCTTCCAGCTTCAGCTCTGGGTGTGGGCACCTGAGAGGCAGGAATTCCTTCCCCAGGTGTTTCCAAAGTCACCTTGAGATTTAAAGCTGTTCTCGTCGCTCTGGAGCAGAATTACTACCCATGGATGTTGGGGGAAACCTGCTGTTTCCTTCAGTGCATAAATACTTAATTGTAAGCAAAGAATTTGGGATCTGAGGCTCAAACTATCTGGAAAAAAAGTCATGTTCAGAATTTAAACAGTTGCAACTCCCTTTTTAAATGGCTGCTTACTCAGCTCGGCATGTGCAGGAAAACCAGTTTTGGAGCTGTAAGTGTTAATGTGTTGGTTTGGATTTTTTTTTTTTTTTTGACTTTGATTCAATGAATTCAAGCTCTAAGAAGGGAAAATTTCTAGAATGGGGGGAAAAAAAGCCTGCTAAAGTAACTCAGCCCACACTCCCTGTTGCTTAGCTCTAGTCTTCTCACAGAATAACGTTTTAAGGTTCTTGATGTGTATTGGAATGTGGAGGAAACAACAAACCCACCCCCCTCTGTCACCTGCCTGTTTTATTTTACTAGAAATCCCGATTACCGGTCCCTGCTCAGGCAAGTGTCTCCAATAGGAATTGATAAATTATTTTTCTCATTCATTCGTTTAGTCAGAAGTAACAAACCCGTGGTGTGGAAGGTGTTCTCACCTCTGATTTATCAGAGCTTTAGCTGTTAAGCCAGAGAGCTGGGAGAGTTTCTTTGGACGAGCTTTTATCTTTGGTTATGTTTCCTCTCTTGTAACATAATAGAACAAGTGTCTGTGCTAACGAGGTTGCTGGGATTTCCAATGTGTTTGGGGGTATTTCTGCGAAAAAACAAGCCCCCCATAAAGGGTGAAGGGAAGGAACCCAATAAGGTGTGTTATGCTGCAGTCTTTCTTAGTTTAGTTAAATAACTAGTATCTGCCTTGACTTTTCAGTAGCTGCCTGTAACATCATGCTCGTTTTGGCAGCAGTAGATGCCATGCAATCAGCAGTTATTTGCAAGTGTGCCCAGGATCGGGGAAAGAAATCAGGGGACCAGAGGGATGTGTGTCCTCCAGGTACAAGAAAGAGACTTTTGTGTGGTGTTGGGGCCAGAGAAGTGCTAGAGGAGCAAGTGGTGTGGGCACGGCTTCAGAGTCTGAGAAAATCTTCCTAGAGAAAGCTGGCTCTGGATGATGGAATGATGAAATGGGGCCTATTTCCCTTTTGCAACCAATTTAGTATCATTTTTACAGTCACTTGGCCTCTACTGTGGCCAGACTCAGAGGTCAGAGAAATTCAGCTGTTTCAGGAGCTGTTTTTTTTTGTGGAATGTATAGTCTTTAACGCTCTCCTCAGGCAAATCCATATATGTTTTGCTTTCAGTTGGATGTTACCATGCCCAGCAACAGCCTGTCTACCATAAAATATTTGTCAAGCTTCATATAAAAATACTTTATTGGGGTTTTCAGAAGGAGGCAGACACAAGGGAAGGTACAGGCAGGCTCAACAGCACATACTGTCATTTCTTAGTACACTGACTTCAAGGGATAGATTTTAACCCGTATATGGTCTGACTGAACATGTCACGAGACTGAAATATCTTATACACAAAACAAGACATCGTTTAAAACCTGACTTCAGGTGACAATACTCATCTACTGAACACACAGCACTGCAATTCAAGTTGGTTGGCGTTTTCTTTTATTCCTAGCAGCAGCCAAAAAGCAGTTTGCTCACAACAGCGCAGTGTAATTGGCAACCACAACATCATAAGCTTTTAGGCGCTACTTTACAGCATTTGGGTGTCTATTTGCAATTGTAGTTTTCAGACTTATGATCTTGAACATCCCTGTACAATACTGTTAAATAGGAGCACTTGCCATGGCAACTAATTACATATTTGTATTACTTTATCACCGAGCAGTGCCAACAGAGATGGGCAGTTGAAGTCTTTCGCTTTATGGTCATGCTACGTCTGTTCCCACAGAGGTCACACAATAAATGGGCAAGTATGATAAAGCCCGAGATGGGAAGCAGAGATAAAACACCCAAGATTTTACGTTAAGACCGAGGGTAGAGCCCTGCTGTCTTGAGTCTGGTGTTCTGTCTGTGGAAAGAGTTGACTGCTTTAAAAAAATTTAAAAAAAAAATGATGCTGATACTGCCTGGCTCAGCCCAGGTCTCCATTCAAATGGTGTATTTTAAAAGGAACCATGTGAGATTTCTGGGACTTGCTAAAATTAAAAGGTCTGAAACAAACTTAAAAAATCCAGAAAAGTTTCCCTTCTCTGGGTGCTGCGGGATGCTTGGTGCCTCCCAGTTTGGCTGTCATCTTCTTTGGGCAGAGATTTGTCCCTTCCTGGGGTGTGGAAGGGACATTGATTGTACCACATGCAACGGGCATCTAGATTATGGCTGTAGCTGCTGTGGCAGAAATGATAAACGAGGTGTTTTTTCCTTCTAGTTCGTTCTTTTCTCTCTGTATCATCACACATGTCTAATATCGTAAGTGTAAAGAAAACACCCTCCCCCTCATGGGAAAAATCAGCCCAGGTTTGCAAGCAGGTGAAATGTCCCTTAGTCCAGTGGCTTTAGGTTAGATATTTATTTTTGTTAGCTTTTCTTTTTCAGTTCTTATTTTAACACCGAGCTGGTGCCACTGGGGCTGACTAGGTGGCAGCAGAGCTCTTCTGTGGTACCTGCGAGTGGAGGACACGGATTTCAGTGCCTGTGATTAATGTCAAAAAAAAAAACCTCCTTACCCTGCTATTCCGTGTGATTTTGTTGCTGATGGACTAGAATAAATGACTAGTGGTCTTGCTGCTGCCTTCCTCGCCTGGCCCACACCAGTGCTCCCAGGTTTTTCCAAGGAACCAAGCCACGATGCTTTTCCCTAACACAGGTGTATTAAAACAAGGCTCTTCTCCTCCGCACACAGGGCTGGCCTCACTTCCAGCAGTTCTGAAGGGGATCATGGGGCTGGATCTTTAGCTTCTTGGGACAGAGGAGTTTAATGAAAGCTCTTCTGAAGCTGTAGTGGCAGAGGGGGTAGAGGATGGGGTTGACAGCCGAGTTGATCCACAGCAGCCAGAAGGAAGTCTCGTACCAGTAGTCGGAGATGCAGTGGCCGTGGCAGCCAGCACGGATGATCATCAGGAGAGTGTACGGGGCCCAGCAGATCCCAAAAATGCCCACGATGATTGCCAGTGATTTAGCCACTTTCTTGTCTCTGGAGAGCCTGAAGCATTGAGTCATGCTCTGGGACACTGTCTTCATCCGTTTCTCTAAGGACAGAGTGGAGGCTGAATTTTTACAGCTCTTTTTGTTGCAACACTTGGGTTTCCCGGAGCTCTCGGAGCTGGTTGACAGCAGGTCTTTGGCACCCAGGCTGGCAGAGGAGGCTGCTGCTTGAGCTTTGCTCTTGGAGAGGTCGGGGGTTTCAGCTGGCTGCTTCTGCTCCCACTTACAGCATTTCAAACACAGCTTCGCCTCCGGGCTCCTTTGCATCTCCCCGGCGAAGGACTGGTTGTGCACTTCGTGGAAAATATCCAGGCGGATTTTGGTCCGCTTCTGTATGTTCAGGTAAATGCTCAGGTTGAAAAACATGACGCTGATGAAAGGGGTGAAAAACTCCAGCGTGGAGGCTGTCATGAGAAAATACCAGTTGTAGAAGAACTCGGCGTAGCATTCCCCGCTGGGGATGATGCTCCGGCCGGAGATGTACTCCCAGCTGATGATGGCCGGGCCGTAGAGCAGGAACGCCAGCACCCACACCATCACCATCTTCAGCACCGCTCGCCTGGTGTTGCCTTGCTGGGCTCTGTAGGCCACCTGCAACGGGGAAACCTTCCCTGAAGTGCGGCCACACACCCCAACGGGCCGAGGCTCTTCACAAAACGAACCGTTAGCGTTCCTGGCAAAGTTGCTAGGCAATATCCCAGCGGTCCCACAAATTCATGTGCCACAGGCGACAGGAGCAATTGCTAGATAAATCACACTCCTGCAGGGAAGACTTAGAGCCCTCATCTCGTGGCTCCCAAACCAGACGTGGCTTCTGCTCAGTGGAAATGTACTGAACTGGTTTGGAGCCTGGCTGCCTGTACCACCCCACCACTGGCCCGAGGTGTCCCTGGCTACTCTCTGAGACCCCCGGCGAGCCACACACCCCCCTGGACCAGCTCTCTCCCAGCCTTGTAGCTAATCCCTGTTGTATTTTGGAGTCGGGGAGCACACAGCCAGCTGTGGATCTGACCTGCCTGCGAATTGCTCGTTCCCTCCTTGGCGAAAGGCTGAGCCTTTTAATCTCAGCACGTGCCCAGAGGGCTCGGGGCTGTGCCCTGCCAAAGTTGGTGCTGCAATCTACTGCCTCGGTAGCCAGGGAGAAGCTGGGAGTCCGACTGCAATCTGCTTGTTTGTCCTGGAGATAATAAGCCCCTGCAAGTTAGTAATAGGTCTGCTTACCTCGCTGACTCACTGGCACACTACTATCCTGTTAGCTGGGAAGGGAACACCTGCACAATGGGGTCTCAACCTGAAATGACTTAATTATGCCAGATATACTAATCTGAAACCGCAGCTGAATTATGTATTGGTGGGTAATTATTGCTTTCCATCACCAGGCTGAAAGATTCCTAATTTCTGGAGGGTTTAAAGAGCTTTTAATTATTACAGAGAATCCGGAGGATAAAGCAGGAGGAGAGCTATTCCCCACTCAGCTGCCATGACAGGACTCACCGCTCTTGTCACCGAGAGGAATCTGTCATAGCTAATCAGGACGATGTTGAAGACCGAGGAGGTGCAGAGCAGGTAATCAACTACCAGCCAGAGTTTGCAGAGGCTTCTCCCGAAGATCCATCTCCCCGTCAGCACGTAGGGCACATACAGGGGGATGCAGAAGGCACCTGCAACCAGAGGGTTCCCTTGGCATCGGGCTGCGGGAGCCCGCTGGCCGGCAGCCCCCCGGGTGTAGGGGGGGGGAAAGCTGCGGGCTCCGGCCGGGCTCCGAGACCCCCAACCCGCCTGGCCGGGGGGGGACCGGAGGGTGCCCGGGAGGTGTCCGGGGGGGACCCCGGGGCTGCGGGAGGGTGTTGGGGGGCAGGAGCGGGGCACGGCCGGAGGGGACCCCGGGGGTGCCGGTGTGGGGACGCCGGAGCAGCGGGACCGGGGGCAGCCCCTGCCCGCCCCGCAGCCAAGTTGGTGCCGGGCCGGGGCGGTTTGGGGGGGGATGGAG